ATACGATGATAATACTGATAAATCTGCATCATGTACCGGTTGCACTCTCTTCTGTCTGCTTCTTCCGCAAGGCCGCTTTCATCTTCTTCTTCGCCTGACGCTTACTGATCGGCTGGTCCTCGCCCTCGCCTTCCGGTTTCTCTGTCTCATTTACACTTGTAGGAGTATGAGTTTCGGTATCATCATCGTTCTTCCTCTTCTTGCCCCCGGAACCATTCGATTCTTGTTTCTTATTATTCTTTCCCTTCTTACCCTGTATGTTTCCGGAGGCAGCTTTGGCATTGCTATCCCCCGCCTCGCCCATCTCGACATCGACTTGTTCGCGGTCAGCAACTCCAACGATATCCACGACGCCCCGGAAGCCGCTGCGTTTCAGTCCCTCGTTGACCACGACACCGCGTGGTAGCGCGCCCAGTCCCTCGTTAGCGCGATCCGTCGACAACCCCCACACATGAAGCAAGTTCACGACATCAGCGGGCGCGCGCAGGCCCAGCACGGACCGCGCCTCGCTGCTGATCACAATCCCGCGGCCACGCGTCGCGCGGATCAACGACGACACATTACCAATGAACGCCGCGCGCGCGCGGGCGTCGACGACGCCCCCAGCCCCTCCGTTCCCAGCAGGACTCTCGCCGCCGTTCCTCGCGCCCTTGGAGCCGACGACGTGCGCGGGCGCCGGGCCCTGCAGGACCTGGGAGTAGCACACTTCGAAGCGGACCCCGCGGCTCACGGCGAACATGCAGGGCTTGGGGCGGAAGGTGAAGGGCTGCCGCACGGTCAGGTCGAGCGATATGAGGGAGACGTCGTTGAGGCTGAGACAGGCCGCCGAGAAGCTCTCCTCGGACTGCGGGCGCACGGCGAGGATGTCGTAGGCGGAGGCGAGTTGGGGCAGGCGGTGGTGTTGCGACGCTTCGCTTAAGACGAGGGTGGCGCGGCGCAGGACGGTGGGGAGGCGAGGTGGTGGGTTTGAGGACGAGGGAGAGGAGGGGTCGAACTTCGGAAGGGGGTTCGTGATTTGTGGCGGTACTGGTGCGCCGATGGTGTGGTTCAGGGCGACGACGTCGTAGCCGAGGGATGCGCTGAAACGGAGCGTGCGCTCCAGGTCTGCGGCGCTTGTGGAGGGCGACCACGCGATATTGAGATCGTAGAGCATCTTGGATGGGGTTATGGGCACAAGGCCCGTGGAGGCAGGGGATAAAATTCTGTCCAACGAGGGTTGGTTGCAGTCAAAGTGTTGGAGGGGTTGAAGCTTCAAATTGAAATCCAATTGAAAAGAGCCCCAGTAGATAAATTTCTTATCAGATTGAACCCAAAGTGGGATTCAAAGCTCATGTGGAGTCCGGTACCAGGGCAGCTTAGATCTTGTACCTAACCTGCCTGTAACCAAGCGGTAGGCTAAGTATAGTGGCTGCAGGTGATCGACCCCCTCAGCTACTACATCCGAGGTTCCGTACTGCGTATGCGTACCTACGCAGCACAGCCTCACTGACGCGGCATTCTACTTATGAGCTTCACCTGAGCAATGCCGCTTTTACGCAAGTCAAACAAACACAAACACAAACACATTTACATAACTTTTATTTATACGTCTTGTCCGTAAATGCATCGCAATAAATGTTTATTATACATCTATTCAAGTATCTATAAATATTATCCTCAGTCACCTGACTAACAATACAAAGATGTATGTAGGCTGAGCCGAGCCTACCCAATTTGTCGCACTCTTAACTTGCTACCTACCTAAGGTACCTTTCAACACAATGGTAACTTATTATAATCTTGATAATGTAATCGGCTCCTTTTTTCAGGAGAATGCGACCGTGACAAGACAGCAATGTGAGGAATTAGCACTCTCCCGAGTCGGAGGGCAGGCGATTCCGGTTGAGATTCAAGGAGCGTTCAGCTACACGTTTGCAACCGGGACCAACCAGTCTAAGATCTTCCAATTCCGGACTCAAGATTCGGAGCTCGATATGTCTGTCATGAATCTTGCCCAAACCGTGCACTCGCAATTCATAGCTGATTGCAAATATCACGGGACGATAGGCCAGCCACGGCCGCTCCATATATATGAGATGGATAAACTGCCAGGAGTTACGTGTATTATGGCGCGCCACGTCTCCGTTGTGCAACCTCCAGACGCTGTGGCCCGGCAGCGGAACACTGCGACTGACCTCGCCAAGTTCGTCTAGCAGCTCCTCCCCTCTTGGCCCCCCTTGTGGATTTGTCTAATTGTAACTAGATTTTTCGCGCAATCTTGGAACCACAGCCAGCAGTTACCCCCGGGTGAGACACATGCCTTGCTTACAGAGTTCCGTGATAAGTTCGATCTTCTTCATCGATCACTACCATCTCGTTTCGCATCAAATCTGGATAGGATTCGCAAAGAGCTGCCGTTACTCTTCTCGAAGACTCTCCCTTTTGTTCTCAGTCACCAAGACCTCTGTGAGATGAACATCCTCATAGGCCCTGAAACTGGAAGTATTACAGGCATCATCGATTGGGCTGACGCGAGGATTTTGCCCTTCGGATTTTCGCTCTGGGCCTTTGAGAACATTCTCGGGTATATGAATTCTGAAGGGTGGCATTACTACGATAACCGCCACGAGCTACAGCGAATATTCTGGGAAACCTTTCGGTTGGAAGCTAAAAACTTGTCAGATAATGATTTACGCTTGATCCAGATGAGTAGAATGGCTGGCTTGTTCTGTCGCTATGGGTTTATTCTTGACGGCAAGGTCTGCAAAGGTGTGATAGACGAGTCTGACGTGTCTTCCTTTAACTATCTTGATGCCTTCTGCGCTGCGGAAGACTGGGAGCTGCCAATATAAACTAGAATCCTAGATCAGGGCCTGCGCGCCAAAAAACCACACACCCCGATACGCCTAATAAAGCGTATAAAACAGCAGATCTTTTGTAGTATATTACTTTAGCCACTACATTATTTTTGTACTACATTAAACATATAAATATGAATAATTTTTTATGGTTTTATTTGACTGTTTGGCTGGCTGGCCTTTGAAGTAGTAGAGTTTAGGTGTATAAGAGGGGTGTGGTTTCTTGGCGTGCAGGCCCTGCCTAGATCATGCCCCTGTAGACGCTAGAGGTTACCTGTAACAAGGTACATACATACAATGTAGGGCCTAGGCGAAGCCGAGCCTAAGTAAAAGCGGCGATTGAGCTAGGCCCAATTCGTCGCACTCTTGGCAACTTGTAACACCATCATTGATGAGATGATAGAACAGCTCATCTGCGCCCCAAGCGTTACCCATTTTATACAGAATATCCTACAAGCCCAGTTCAGTTACCACCTATCTTACCTACCTTTGAATTACATCTTCACCTGCAACATCCAAGACTCTTTGCGACCCAAAAACAATCTACACAATCCCGCACCCCAATCGCGACGCCGTTACTCTGTTCACCCTGCGACATCATAACCACCATCGAAACTCGAACACGGCCGGCCCTGTCTAGCCGCATAAGCTGAACGATGTGTCTAATCTTCACCTGCGGCGAGCATACCTTCCGCAAGCAGGTTGAGGGATACGAGGGCGTCACCTGCCAGTGCCACAACTGCGGCAACTACGCCGCCCATGTCATCAAGAGTAACCCGTGGTTTACGTTCTGTTTCGTCGTGAGTCCCTCGTCCTCTTGCCCCTTCTTCTTCCCGCTCTCCCCCTTTGCCGAGCATTTGTCTGTCCGGCATTGCTACAGATACGTGTGTAACTTTATACCTAGACAGTATATGTGTTAACTTGTTTATTGCACAGCCTGTCCTACCACTTTCCTTCAAAGGCTACCACGATGTCGTTTGCCAAGTTTGCAATTTCGCCCAGCCGCTCGAGAACAGACCCGACGTCATGAACATGAAGGGCGGAGGCAACAATATACCAATGCAAAACCAACATCCGCCACAAGGTTGGGGCGGAGGTCCTCCGCCACCACAAGGTCAACCGCCCATGCAATATAAGTAATATGGACGCCGAGACCAGCAGGGGGTGGTCGACAAAGAAGATGAAACATGCGGATAAGGTATTTTAGGGAAATCAACAGCAAGGCATCGAAATGGAATACTTCTCAGGGCATAATTGGCCCACTATCACCTCGCCGGTTAGGAGCAAAGGTTACATAGCACAAGGGCTTCAGGTGTAGCTCATGATATGGCGTTCAGGAGTGTATGGCGGGACTCTTTGATTTTATAACCACTGCTGTCAACGTAGCAAACCCGCATCAGCCTTGTTTTTATCAGCTTCTATTGTGCTTTGCGTATTAGATACCATGATGATTAGTTTTCGCGTTGATATCAATGACACCCATTTATGCATATCTCTTGCGCCTTCTTATTGCAAAGCAAGCACAGTAGTAACTAGATCAATCATAAGCAGGCGGCCCTTCTATTAGTGCACATTGAAGTTGGAGACGAGTTTAGAGGCAAGATGTCGGGGATATAGGTAGGACTGAGATGGTGGCGAACTTTAGGCTCCCAGATTAAGATATGAGCCCAGCTGTCTACAGCATCATGTTTCACATGGACTCAATGGTTATCTTTATATCGATCTCTTACTTTAAGCATAATTCCCCACACTCGCAGGAATTTTATAGAGTATAAATATGTTCATCGGGAAATGCTTGTACAACACCGGAATGCAGGGCCTAAAACAAGATAATGACGTAAGTGAAGCAGCAATACTAAATGTAGTGAAAGACAAATGAAAATAATTTAATTAAAAGTTATAATGCAAGGAAGCATTTCTACACGTCTATCTCAATTATCGTCTAGATAATCTTTTTTGTAGAATAGGGCTTTACTTTCCCAGCTCCATAATTGATATCCCTAGTGTTGTGCGATTTGGTGCCTTCATTCTTAATATTTAACTAAAGAATTACAAGCACATCTTGTATCATCGCTGTCCATGCAGCAGCACAGGTAACGGCCTCTAGGCAGCTGCGATATGGCATGAAAGAGACATCCCTGCCTCCAACAAATGATATCCTGTGGTGAGATGGCCGAGTGGTTATGGCGCCGTGTTCAGGTAATCCGATTATATCGTGAGCTATCAAGAACAAATTCGCGGTGGAGCAATCCGCGTGGGTTCGAGTCCCACTCTCATCATTACAACTTCGACTTTCATAAGTTGATAGTTTTTTTTCTTTGTGTTACTTCAGATTCAGAGCAAACCCAAGTGAGGATACCTAAGTAGGTATCTCCCCCTCCGCCGCATCATCAGCAACAAACTCCACAACGCGCATATCATCATAACTGTGTGTACCTATCAAGTGTATACATACATTGAAAATGTTGCTAGACATGGTGCCTAAGTAGATGTAAGTAAACGGTTATTAGTTACATCTGTTACCCGTCTCCCTGCTCTATCTACTAAGACGCAGCTCTCTCTATATTCATGATCATGTAGCGAGTATTGACAATGTTTCAACCCATGTACCTCTATGACGTCCATCCTAGCTGACCTGGTCAGTCAGTCTAAATAATTCACAACACCAACTTTTAATGCACTTTTATGAGCGGTAATGGCAACCAAAAGATCGCGCAGCCCGGAATTTGTACCAAACCCCTTCATCAAAAAGAGAAATCTGCAATGGAGTATTGACATCACGGGCTTGCCCCATGATGCCGCCAGCTCGAGCAACTCTGAGGTCGATGATAGCAACAAGGACGATGCTGATGATAAAGAATCGTTGCATCGTCAAGGCGAGCAAGAGCAGGAGCAGGCAATCACTTCCGCCATTGAGGCCGGGAGGGCCAGCATAGAGCATCATCTCGACTACTTCCGTGCGCTTCTAGCCAAGACCACTATATCGCCATTTCCCTCAGGCACCCCTCGCCTCTCTGTGGAGGGCTATCGCAAGCTATACGAGGCCAATGCTGGAAGTCCCCGGGGCGCGCACTTCATTATCCACCAGCATGACCATCCGATCGCAGGGACGCATTACGATCTGCGATTGCAAATCAATGAGACGAGTAGTGCGTCGTGGGCCATCATGTACGGACTTCCTGGGGATCCGAACAGCTTTCGGCTAAATCGAAATGCGACCGAGACGCGCATACACTGTTTATGGGCAAGTGATATACACCTGCTTCTCGACGCAGGAACCATAACTTGTCTATTATATTACCAATAGATGCGCTAACAAACAGCAGAACCATCTCATCGAAACAGGCTCTCACGCCACCGGCTCCCTCCTTATATGGGATACAGGAACCTACACAGTCTTACCAACACAGCCAAAACACTTACAGGACAATTCACAATCCTCAACAGATGAAGATGATTGTTTGCCGCAGCCAACCGAGCAACAGAAGCTGCATGAGGCCTTTGCAGCACGAAGGATCCGATTGCAGCTCCACGGAACACGTTTGCCGTCGCCATATGTGTTGAACTTACGTCTAACACGCGAAGAAGATGCCGCAGGCCGAGCACGCAGTACGCGTGTCCCCAAAACACGACGGCGACGAGGCGCGCCCTCCGCCATCTCGGCCCAGATAACCAGATCCAGTAGTAAGGGCAAGAAAGCGCCTAAGCCAACCACAAGCTCGGACTCAGAACCGGAGTCTACACCATCCCCCTCGCGAGCTCATACCGGGAAGAAACAGCAAGGCGAGAGACCTGGAAGTGTTGGCGAAGATGATACAGACATCGTGTTTGCACCAGCCGAAGAAGCTAAAGAGGGCGACAATGCTATCTCGGCTACTGAGCGTGAACTCCGTGAACTCGAGGATGAGGAGGTTCGCAGGACCAACGCATACCCCGGCGCAACGAACTCCATCGGCAGCGTGCACCAGCGGCGGTGGTACCTATCACTCGACCGCGAGGCCAGTGGTCTCGTGAAGCGACGGAGAGAGGGGAGGACGGTATGGGAAAGCACAGATGGCCATTCGGTCGCCACAGTCGGCGGCCATCAGATGGGAGAGGGGACAACAGCGACTGACGACGAAGGCGACACAGCACGGCTGACCTATCCATTCTACGTTCGCGGCGTCGAGCATGAGCGAAGCGTGATTACGGGACGGCTGGGCAGTGAGGTTCTAAAGGATGAGGGTGTGATCGGGTATGTTGGACGGAAGGGCTGGCAGGCGATTCTAAAGTAAGATACTAAATAGAATACGTGCGATTATCTGTTCTGTGGTATCATTGTGAGAGGCTCTCAGCCACCCTCACTCTCTTAATTCTCTTCACATTATTCGCGATCTTACCTGTAGTAGACAGAATGAGTACCCCGAAGAGTGCTTGTGGTTCGATCCCCTCGTCACAGTATCATCTATAGTATAGGAATTGAAGGATGTTCCTGTCATATTGCTACCTAATTTAGTTTAAATAATAATTATGTCCCTGAAGTTTCCATTCCACTGGCCATCAAAAGCAGAGCCGTCGTAGATCCCACATCTACGATAGATGCCCTTCCGTCCTGGCATTTCTTCAAGAATGAGGACGATTTCGAACGTCTGCCGTCTATACCCTGGACGTCTTCCCTCTCTCATTATTCGCACGTAGATGCTGTCACCGGGAGCTGGGATGCCCGCCTTTAGATCTGGATAGACTTTATCACCCCAGTCGGAACGCATACCAACAGAGGGGTGCTCGCCCTTCCAATCAGCTCCATATATGACGCCTGCGGTTATTTGTAGCTTTCTCGGGTCTTCTTCTTTCTCTTCATCATCAACTATGAATTTCATCTGCGCCTCGTATGTGTATCCCCATGCGCCAAGCAAGGCGACGGGACCGTCTACAGAGCCCCAGGACCAAGTAGGTGCTCGTGCTCTCGCTGATCTCTCGTGCACCGGGGACTCGACAAACCAGGCAAATGTTGACGGAATGGCCGCCACCGCCCCAGAACTAGTCCTCATGTTTAAAATATTCTCAATCTCGTTGGGGATTCCTTGAAAAGCGTAGAGGCGATCGTTTAGATCTGTCATGCTTCGAGAGGAGTATTCCTTCAGAACCTGGTTCCATAAGAACGTCAACTGGTTCTGATCGTCTGTCTCATTCCTACGTTCAAGGTAACTGAGTACGTTCTTCCTAAACCAGCAAGGCCTATAAGAAGAATAGGTCACAAGACTACGACGCCCCGGCAACGACGCGTGCTCGTATTTATGACAAGCGACGAGGACCTCTACTGTTGAGAATATGATCCTGCGACGAGGCAATTCCATCTCTTGAAAGGTCCAGGCTCGTTTGTCTAGGGGGTGTTGCGGCTCGAATTTGGAGAATACCGGTGCGAAGGTCATGTTGGCAGCAACATTGCCATTCCCATCGCTGCTCGGCATGGAAAACTGAAAGTCGAAACTCGGATACGAGAATTCGCGTACAGGCCGTAGAAACCCTTGGGTATGTGCAGACGCGCTCGCTGCTGAGATGATGGCTGTCGCATTCTTGTAGATATATGACATTTTCTTGATCTCTCGCAACTTTTCCTTGTCATCATCCTGTACGATGCACAGTGCATCGACCCAGAGATACCGAAATCCAAGCCGCCTGGTGGTTTCAATAGCATCGCGTATTGTTTGACCGAGCTCATCTACAGGGATAGCTTCCTGCAGAGTATTGACATTTGCTTTCAGAGCTACTACTCGCTGAGGGGCACACCAACAGTAGCTGAGGCAAAGGTACCTGACGTGAAGCCCATGGTTTGGAGACACGGCCACCAATCGTGCTGTCATGTCTGTGTTGCTGACATCGCGGCCGGGATTGACATCTATGAAGCGCAAGGGCAGGGGTGAGGGGGTGCTGGGCTGCTTGCATTCTTCGTGTATCGTTTCGCACGTCTCTAGCCATGATCGGATCTTCGAAAAGACGGCGTCGCTAGCGACATCTGTACCCAAAGGACGTAGAGGACTTATTGACGAAGCGGGATCATCTATTGACTTTCACATGAGACATTCGCAGGCCTTTCGATGCCAAGGAATGAGTGCCTCTCACCTTCTCTTGCCATGAGGCACATGGTACCAAGCCCGACGATACTCTTCGCGTTAATTTCAAGATAGACATTGATGTGTCCAAATTCACCCGCAAGCTCGAAACTTCGTCTATTCCACCGGAACCATACAGTACATGACGGCTGATCAGCTTTTTCAGTAACGGAGTCTCTTATCACAGCACATAGCGGACACGGCATAATACTAGATGCTCGGTCGAGTATGTCTTGCAAAGGGCCATGCTTAAACCCTGCGAGGATTGTACCCTCGCCATCGAGCTGCTGAACTCCGTTATATGTAGTTAATTCCGCACAACGGTCGCACAACTTTTTCTTAGTATTCATCGTAAATTGATTATTGTTAGTTCTAGCTAGTTACCCCGCTAATGCAAAGTAGAGACGGGATGATCAGAGACACAGGTTAGGCAGAAATAGACAAGACGCTACCAGGTTAAGCTGAAATACGTACTGTATATACGATCTCCAGTAGATAGTGGCTTACAGTATGTGGTATCAATTGATCGATCCAAGTTCTACGTTGATCCGCTCCGTTAAGACCAATCGTACAATTCACCCTTAGCCGGACCCCGCTGGTTTACTACCTACACAATAAGCTTCAGTTATTCCTGTATCTGCTCGCTAAAAACGAAGGCATTGACTTGGGACGACGGTTTGAACAACAGACGGGTATAAAATGTAGGCTATAATTTTCGACTTAATGATCACCCTTTCGCACATTCCAAGAATTAGCAAATGCACATCTCAATTCATCATGGGAATAACCTAATGTTGAATGTTAATCTAACGACGACATCCGAGAGTTCTTCCCCGTTGCCTGACGCACGTCTGTTGCAAGTCCCACGTTAAGGTCCGGCCCTGTGTCCGAACGCGTTTTTTTGTTCTAATCTGTTTCTATATTTCGAGCAGTAACTCGGTAATTTATCGCCCGAGCTCCTATAATTATTTATGCTGCAGGGCTATATAAAGTTAGATGACCTTGTGTCTTCAAAGTCCCGTCTAAACCCGAGGTACAACTACCTAAATCACGCATACAATCGTCGCATAAGTTGTCCGCGAAATGCAGCCCCATAGTGACTATTTCGCGTGCCCATGCCATTCAAACCAGTCATAGATGAAATCTCCGAAACACCCATTTATCAATGCATTGTTCTATCTCTTTAG